CACACAGCAGACACGTATCCTTGTCCACCTTCTTCGGCGCCGTACCTGATGAAGTGTTCTGCCTCGTAGTTGATGGTGTGCCGCGGCCTTTTCCTTTGTTCTTGCCCTTGCCCTTGCCTTTGGAGGGTGGTCCACCTCGGCTCACAGCACGACCTCTTCCAGCTCCTGGACCTGGCTGAGTAGGCATGGCATCGTACGCTCCCAGTCCGACCACTGGGAAGTAGCCCCTAGCGTTCTTCACCTCATTGATGAGCTTCCGAGCCTCCAGGAACGTGCGAGAAGCGGCGTATGCTGTCTCCGTCCACTCGTCAGCTCGATCTTCTCCAGGAAGGACTGCCGCCGCTAGACTTTCTTCCTGTCCAGGATGCTCCTCTGCGATCGAGGGATCCCCGATCGTCGCCGTCATGAGCTCCTCGGCGGCTGCCATCGCCGTCTCCGTCAGGTCGGTGGCCTCTCCGAAGCCGTCGTGGTAGGCCTCGTCGTAGATCTCTTCCGCGTAGGCGGTCAGCTCGCCTATCTGCTCCGGGTCCTCGAAGATCGCGTGCACTCCTTTTCTCGATTTGTACCCTTTTTGCTTATCTCTGGCTGCCAACTGTTCTTCGGGCCATTGTTCTGTCAGCGCCTTCTTCACGTCTTGGTACATGTACGAGTTGCCCTTCGGACCCGATGTCGCCAGCACTGCTGCTTGCTCGGATGGGTCCAGACCCGCACCGTCTAGCAAGATCAACCCTAGGATGAATTCGTGCATGAAGCCCGTCGCTGGAATGTCATTGCGCACCGCGTGGAGGGCCTTGCCGATCTTGCTGAGATGAATGTCGAACCTCAAGACCCACTTTTTCGGTCCCTCTCCTGGGTTCCTGTAGATGCCTCTCATGAACTCTCTCCACTTCGACACTGCTTCCTGCATTGTCACGGTACCTCGGACGCCCTTCAGCGCATTCACGGCTCGCTCGGCCCCGTCTTCCTTGACTAGGTCTTCCAGCAAGACTTTCTTGGCTTCGTGCCACTGCTGGGAGTCCTCGTCCATTGCCTGCACTAAACGCGGGCCTAGATAGACTCTGTCCTCCTTCTTGGTGCCGAGGACCCACAGCTTCACCTTCTCTTCGAAACTCTCTAGTGTCGAAGCTTCGCCATTCCATACGGGAATATTGACTCCACTTTGTCCAGACTCCATCCTTCTTGATGTCACTGGAGATCGAGTGATTCACCTCGAAGTGGGCTGCTACTTCGTCTCGCTACCAATGTCAGTGGAGCGTGTTGTCCACGGATCTCAGCCTTTCGCTTCGAGATGTCCTCACAATATCTGATGAAGTATATCTTGATATATGGCGGGGTTCCAGCTCGAGAGAGCTCTGATATACCCAACTCCAATCAAATGATGGCAACACAAGAGAGACAGCGAGAAGCAATCTTATTCTAAACAATCCAAGCGTACGTGTACGGTCCCCCTGAGCTTCGGACCGAGTTTCTAAGAACTCACCAGACTGGCTCCAGTCTGGCTTCGCGCCAGAATGGCTGCGGACAGGCGGCCTAGGCAGGGCCTAGACAAGGGTGCACAGGGGTCTCACTGGGGCTCCCTGGGCACCTATACTCACAGAGGGTTGTCTCTACCTCCTCAAAGTATCGAACTTCGAACGAGACTGACACAAGGAGGGGGGTGATGACTAGCGGGGGTGGATATTATGGCGTGGGTCATGATATTTCCCCAGATGTCATGGCGCCCTTTCTTATTTCATTACGACCCTGGCCCCCCCGCTGGGCCGCGCACGTGCCGCCGGTCATGATTTGCACCCCCCCCCCTCTTGGACACCCCCCTCTTGGCCGCTCCCGAAAAACTACCCCTGGGAGAGGGGTCGGGAGTTCAGGGGCTGCGGATTGAAAAAAGTCGTATCGGAGGGTGCCTGTGCACATTCGACGCCTCGTTCGAGGCCCAGATCTCCGCCGACGTGCTCTTCCCAGCCTGCTTGTGCTGAGTTCATGTCGGCACACCTTCACGCTCCGTGGCCCCATGGGAGGCTCCACCTATTGTCTCGGTGGGCGCGAGCGCATGGCGCACGCGCCCCCAGTCCAGTGCACCACTCACGCGCTTCGTGGCCCCAGGGCGGATCTCCACTTGATGCCTCGGTGGTCGTCGGCGACGTGTCAGAGGAGGAGGAGGAGGAGGAGGAGGAGGAGAAGGACCAGTGTAAACCCAAGAGCCATCAACTATATTGCAATAGTTAAACCCTCCCTCCAAGTTCCCTCTTCGCAGGCTCCTACACGGATCACCTTCACTGAGGGAAATCCCGGGTTGAAAGACAACCGTTTGAACATCCGGAAGTATGTCGTAACCTTTCTCTCTTGGGGTTTCAACGCCGCGAATCTCCGCAAGTCTTGCGTCTTGACGATCCTCTTGAATCGTGCCAGATAAAAGTTCCAGGGGCTTCAACACCGTGAATCAACATGATTGTTGCGCTCTGGCGTTCCGACATTATGCCAAAACGCAATTCCTGGGATGGTCGTCCTTGAAACTGCTGCGACGTCTTAAGACGACTGTACATGGAGCTAATGCGAGAGCCACATGTTGAAAAGGAAGTGCCCTCCATCCGTGGACACACTTGCCGACTGTCCAAGCGAGTGTGCGCGGCGCTGGGGCGATATTCACATCTTGAAAACGGGCCGCCTTTCATCCGTGAAACCTCTGCAAATGGCTAAGACGAGTGCACTCGGATCGAAGGCGATGGCCACATTTCCAAAACGGGCCGCCCCTAATTCGTGAAGCTCTTGCAGATGTCTAAGACGAGTGTGCGCGCGGTTCTGAGGCGAGAGCCACATTCTGAAGGCGGGCCGCCCTCCACCCGTGAAATTGTTGCAAATCCCAAGTTTCAGGATCAGAAGTCGTGAGGGCGTCTCGGGCGAAACGCCCGGCTTGCCCTTTCGACCGGCCCCGGGGTGCGGCAGGGAAGAATTACTGATGAGGAAAAGGAACGGATGAAGAGGAGGAGGATGATGAGGAGGAGGAGGACGAGGAGGAGGACGAGGAGGAGGAGGAGGAGGAGGAGGAGGGCCGATATGCAGGGCTGCGTGTCCCCCCGCTAGGGTCTGGGCTTCCCGACTCGGGGCCAGGGGCGGGCGGGCCCGCCCAGAAGTCCCGAGCCGCCACCGCCGACTGCACCCTGCGGCGCACCTCGCTCGCTCCATCCCCCCGTGTCGGGGGCCGAGCGGCCCCGCCGCCGGGCGCTTTCCCTGATGCACGGTCGCCCGTGGCGCCAGGAGGCGCCAGAGTGGACCGCTGATTCGCTACCCCCTCATGCTGTATCCCCCTTTCTCGTCTGCCCCAATCGCGATGAGCAGGAGGATGGGAGGGGCCAGGAGGGCGGGAAGAGCACGGGGGAGGAGGAGGATCAGGAGGAGGAGGAGGAGGAGGAGGAGGAGGAGGAGGAAGGAGAAGAAGAGGTGGAGGAGGAGGTGGACGAGGACGAGGAGGTGGGGGAAGAGGAGGACCACGAGGAGGTGGAGGACGAGGTGGACGACGAGGAGGAGGTTGAGGACGAGAACGACGAGGAGGAGGAGGACAAAGAAATAGGGAGGGGAGAGGTTCAGGAGGCGGCTGCGAGGAGGAGGAGGAGGAGGAGGAGGAGGAGGAGGTGACGGAGGAGAAAGAGGAGGGAGGAGCGTCGCCTTTAGACCGTTCGGTAGTGCTCCATGGGTCTCCGTGTCCAGGTTTGCAGCGGGGTCCTGCCTTCCATGTCGCGCTCGTGTCGTGTCGGGTCTCCAGAGTGCTGGGAGTGGCCGCGTGCAGGCCGAGTTGGCCGAGAAGGCGAAGAAGGCCAAGGAAGAGCAGCAGAAGGAGAAAAAGGCGCGGCAACCTCGTGCGCTCTTCTTGTCACAGGGAAGTTCGTGTAATGACCTCCTCCGGGGGGATGGTTTTTTTTGGAGGGAGGATGGGGCTCGTGGGGGTGATGGGGAGACCGCGTCGGGAGGGTGTGGGGAGGGTTTGAGAATTCTGGACCCGCGTTGAGGGGTGGTCGGGGGGATGGGGACGCTCCGTCGGAAGGTAGTCGCCCCCCCCTCCGAAGATTACCCCATCCGGAGTAGCCACGAGCCCGAGCATTCGTGAACCTGCAGGTGCTGTTCTGCAGCGGTTGCTGAAGGAGGTACGTGAAAGCTTTCTCTGTCGTGGCCGCGCCACCCCCTCCACTAGATACACATTGTTCATTTCTAGTTCTTCGAGAGTTCTTTGATTTTTTGGGGGCCAAGTTCCTTTCATCTCTAATTGTTCTATCCTGGGCCTCTTCCTGGCCACTAGAGGGCCAGGAACAATTAGAAACGAGCGCAACTAGAAATGAGCACGACTAGAAATGAACGACGTGTATCCCCCCCGAGCTTTCGAAGCACATCCGCCCTCCCAGGCTCCCTCCTCCTCGCCGCTCGTCCCATGCCTGCCTTCTGTGTTCTCTCCCTCCCTGTCTGCTCCAGGGCTGGACCTAAACAGTGTTTTTCGTTTTCGTTTTGTTATCGTTTTCCCTCGTGTTGCCTTCAATCTGCCTTTACCGCAAAACGAAGTTGACACGAAAACGGCCCACGAAATCGCCAAAACACCGTTTAGGTCCACCCCTGGAGTCTGCTCTCTCGTCCCTCCTTCCGCCCATGATCCCTTCCCCTCGCTCCTCCTTTCCCCTTGCTTTCCTCCGGAGTGGCCCCTCGGGCTTGGACTGGGGTGCGTTCTGGCCACACCTCCAGAGGCATCTGGAGGCCCACACGGACGTAAGCGTTTGACGGCGTGGACCCCGAACGATGGGTTCTTGTACTCTGGATGAGTATGTTGTTTCGGGGTGCAGCGTCTGTGGCTAGATAAGTTGGATGCAGCTCACCGTGGGCATCCCGCGTTAACAAGGCTCACAGGACTGTGAGTGCAGTTATCCATCTCAGTCGTCTTGCGAATCTCAACGACAACGACGACAATGATGAAAACGACGCGTTGCTTTGTCCGCACACGTGCCACACACAGTCATGTGGAAATGCATCGGCAGGAGAACTCCCAGCTGTCCAACTTCAAGCAGCTGCTGCTCGAGAAGGGCGTGAGGCCGTTCGACAAGCGCCCCCTCCACCCCTGCCCCGAGGGGGCAGCCCTGAGATGAGAGCGCCGCTGTCCGATCCGTGCGCGATGCTCGATGGCCGACCCGCCAGCGACAGCGACATGCGGCCCAGCCGAGCAGAACGCAGCAGCAAAAGTGGTCACACCTCAAGCCGCCCAGGGAGGAGCCTTTCCTCGGATCTCCTCGTCCTGCACCTGCTCCTTGTCCCCCTCTCCTGCGTCGCCCGGTCCCTGCGTTGCATCTGCGCGGGACCTTGCCTGTCCTGCTATATCCATTCCTTTCTTTTGCCCGACGCGGGTGCGACACGGATCCGACGTGGATTCGACGTCGGTGCGACGCGGATTCGGCTTGTTCGGCATGGATTGGACACGGATTGTTTGCGCGGTGAGACAGAGAAGGTCACCCGAAATTGCAATTCGGTCTTCTTTCGAGGGTTGAGCTGCGCATCGGCTTGCCGATGGCGACAGGGAGACCCTCGATGCCACTCCTGTCAGCAATCGCCGGCGGGCAGAACACACCTGAGAGGTGAGGAGAGAAGAAGGAACAACCGAACAGCGAGACGGATCCCGGAGGCAGGCAGGGGGTGGGCAATGTGGTTGGTGCGGGCCTGTATGCGCTGCGCGGCGGCTTGCTCCTCGGCTGCCTGGGCTGCTGCGTGGCCTGCGCAGGCACTCCACGACCGCAGCTGCACGGCGGTGGTGGCGGTGGAGATGGTTAGGGCGGGGAAGGGGGAGGAGTGCGCGGATTGAGGACGAGGAGGTGCAGGAGTGGGAGATGGGGAGAGGAAAGCGAGACGGAGGGATAGCAATAATGGGGGAGGGGAGATGACAATGTGGAGCAGGATGATGGAAGAAAAGGATAAGGATGATCATGAGGAGGAGCTAGGTCTCCGAGTGTGGCCAGGAGGAGGAGGAGGAGGTGTAGGAATGATGGGGTTAATGATGATATGTTGCAGATGGTGATGATGATGGTGATGAGAACGATGCTGATGATGAGGATGATGATGCTCATGGTGATGCTGGTTATGCTTATCACGATGCTGAAGTTGATGATGATGATGACGATGCGTATGGTAATGATGATGATGCAGATGATGAGCCTGAACATTCTGATGATGGTGGTGATGATGGTGCTGATGCCGCTATTGCTGATGAAGGTAATCGTGACAGTGGTGATGATACGGTTGATTGTGATGGTGATGACGATGATGATGATGATGCTGATGATGATGATGACACTGATGAAGATGATGATGCTGCTTGAGATGAAGATGCATCAGATGAACATGGTGATGGTGATGGAGATCATAGTGTCGATGATGGTGATGGTAACGGTGATGATGACGATGTCGATGACGATGCCGATGACGACGACAATGATGACGACGATCACGATAGTGATTTTGATGTTTCTGAGATGGAGATGATGATGACGAAGATGATGACGTTGTCGATGACGATGACGATGAGGATGATGATGATGATGGTGATGATGGTTGTAGTGGTGTCGGTGATAATGGTGGTGGTAGTGCTGATGATGCTGATGATGATGATGATGATGGTGGTGGTGGTGGTGGTGGTGGTGATGATGATGATGATGATGATTATGATGAAGAGCAGGAGTGAGCATGGCCGAAGGCTGAAGGGTGTGCTGTCGGAATTCCCTTGCAATTAGTGCTGAGGGGATAGGAGGCAAGGAAAGTTGCAACACCAGAGGAATCCGTCGGCCCCTGCCGCTGTCACAGTACGCCTCCAGGTACGAGAAGTGGCTGCCGAAGCTGCTGCACGACAAGCGCTTCACCGCGGTGCCCAGGACGGTGGCAGACCAAGAGCGACGTCGTTTCCCTTGCACCGGTGCGTACCTGCTCCTGTAGTATGTACAGCTGTCATGCGTGCTAAGACAACCCTACCCTGGGAAAGGGTACCCTTATGTTTTCCGTGTGTGGGCTCTGCACCTTGCAGTGCTTCCCGGTCTGATTGTCTCCACGGGGTCTTGGGCCTTCGGCGAAGGGGCTCGTGTTCTTGAGCAGCGTCGTGTTCACCCTCTCTTCGCTGTGTTGAGGAGGCTTGCGTTCGGATCGTCAGGAGGAGGAGGAGGAGGAGGAGGAGGACGAGGAGGAGGAGGAGGAGGAGGATGAGGAGGAGGAGGAGGAGGAGGAGGAGGAGGAGGAGGATGAGGAGGAGGAGGAGGAGGAGGAGGAGGAGGATGGGGAAGACTTGAGAACCGGCTGCGGATCCCGTCGGCCGGGTCCAGATGCCCCGCAGCTGCCTCGGGCTGCCGGGGCGTCCTGCGGCCGGTACAGCCGGACGGGCAGACCTCCGCGCGAGCTGTGGTTGCGGAGGTCTCTCGGGCGCCCCGCGCCGCGCGCCGCGTGCGCCGCCCCGGAGGTCCCTGCACGCGGCGCAGGGCGCACGAGTGCGATGCGAAATCAGGAGCGAAAGAAGGACGTACATGTACATGAATCCACGCTGGTTTCGAGAGCACGCATTGCACAAATGTTCGTATCACGCGGCCGGTCTCGCGAATCGAGGCGCCGTGTTTATGTACATAGCTGGGCGCGTACGTCCTTTGTGGGCTCCCTACGAAAGTGATTCGAAGGTTGGCAGGTCGATCCGGGGGTGGATGGACCACCTACCCCGACGCGTCGACCGAGGAAATGGGCCGTTGTAGGCTCGCGAGAGGGCGTCGCGGCCGTCGTTTCTGCGGGTCCGGGTCCGTCGGTGTCGGTCCCAGGCCGTTTTCACTGAGGGGAGGTTTTTACGAAAGGGAGGTTTGTCCACTGCCGACAGAGGCCCCTCACCCGCCAAATCGAATAGCGAGTCGCTCGTTCTGGATCTCGAGTCGGGCGTTCTGGCCGCAGCCTTGGCGGGCCTGCCCCCGCCAGGTCTGGCCCCGGGTCGGGTTCACAGCAAGGTGCTCTGCTGCAGGGGGCGTCTGTCCACCCCCCCCCCAAAGGGATGTGACGTTTCGCATTCGCGGTCCATTCGGCATGATTTTGTGGGTGAGCAACAGGCCGCACACGATGCAGAAGAGGAGAGCACACGTTCACTGTGTGCCAGCTTGCAGAGCACACGATACGGGGAGCGCTCACTGCAGCACGTAGCTATCGGTGGCCATCACAGCCGGTACGGTCTTGACTGCCATGTCAATTGCAAGATGGCGTATGAGCAAATTGTTTTACAGGGGTGCGCGTGACCTGGTGCACAACAGCAGCAGTGCACAGCAGGCAGCTAAGGAATAACGCATGGTTTCTCTCATATAAGCCCGCACGCTACAATATGGCCTGAGCCTCAGGCAATGCGCTGCACATGCAGGTTCATCGAAGCATACATCCAGGATCCACGAAGCCACTCTCAAGTTGCAGCGCAAACGGTGCAATGGTAAAGGCGCTGTGATTTGATTGCAGCACGCAGTATGTTCTAGATGATCCTTAAGGGCGCCAGCACACGTTTGCCTCGGGTGCTCGCTTGCAGCGCCGTCATGGACGTCCGGCAAAGTTCTGTATCTTTGCGAGAGCGACACCAGTGAGGTCCGATTCGGTAGTGACTACGTGGACCGCCCAATTCGATCCTGGTGCTCCTGGATGACAGGAGTGCCTGGCCACGGTCCCTGTCGGGTAAGTTTGTGAACCCAGCCACGGATTGATGAACGAACAGAGCTGGAAGCGACGCTCTTCTGGCCCGCGCAGCAAAGGACTACAATTGTTTTCTTTCGTGCAGCCGCTGGGGGGCGTGCTCTGGCCATTATTAGGGTTCCACCCTCCCCGTGCCTGTATAGGAGGGACCTCTCTCTCTATTTCTCGTTCTCTCTCTCTTTCTCTCTGACGTTGGCACCCATGTCGTGCGCCGAGAGGCCCACTGAAGATACTGTCGAGACGCTAACATATTTACCACTTTGGGTTGGAGAGGGGCTCTGGTTTTCGGGCTGGTCCTGAAAGTCCAGGTCAGGGACCCTATCGTGGCCGAGATTGCGAGGCTTGCCGTGGCCATAACACACCCTGCGTCCTTTATGTGGTGGGTGTCCTAGAATGGTAGCACGATGGTTGCAGGTTCGAGGCGTGCCAGGCACGTTTCGCCAGAGGTGTTGGGTATGCCAGGCGATCAGCCGCGTCAGGCGCGTGCGCTTGCCCCCTCGGTCGGTTCAGAGTCGACGGATGCCCGACGCCATGCGACTGGAGGAGAGAGTCAAATCAGCGGCCTCCAGCGCGCAGCGGAAGGCCTTGTTCGAGGCCCTCGCGAAGAGGACCGCTGCTGTGTCTGTAGCCGCGCTCTTCGGCTGGACGTGGTCGGTGCTGCTGTTGCTGTGCAGTGCGTGTCGATTGCGCGTGTGTGTGTGTGTGAGTGTGTGTGTGTGTGTTTGTGTCTGTGTCTCCAAGGAGTCGAATTCGACCAGCCCTCGCGTGCAGTGGAGAGGGCGCGTGCAACGCATGGCATCTCATCGCCACGTCTTCAGGGGCCAGTTTGTGCCAGTCGCTCTCTTGTCGCCTTGGCCGATCTGCCACGCACGGCGGGGTGTAGCAACTTCGGTGGCCGGTAGGGTCGGGGGCGCACACCTCACGCTGCAGGTGAGGCGCGTTGCACTTCGCCGCCAGAGCCCAACGTAGGCCATCGGCAACTCCACCGGCCGTTTCAACCGCATCCTGGTCCGCCAGCTTCGTGTACAATTTCGGCTACTTCACCACCACACCATGTTGTGCACATTGTTCATTTCTCAGTATTCGAAAGTTCTTTGATTTTCTGGGGGGCCAATATCATTTAATTTCTAATTGTTCTATCCTGGGCCTCTTCCTGTCCATTCGGGGGCCAGAAACAATTAGAAACGAACATAATTAGAAACGAGCACGATTAGACATCAACGACGCGTGCGCTTTTACAGAGCCTTTCGACAAGGAAGGTCTCATGACCTTGTCCAGTGTGTTGTCGCGTGCTCATGCACGCGTGCGTGCATTCATTCGGTAATCCCTTGAATGTCCGTGATCAGCTCTGGAGTCTCTAAGAATCCATTCATTCATGACCTACGTGTGCAATGGTGCGAGTTCAGCAGGCCGTCTTGATGGACGGCTACGCTGTCAGTGTCCCCACACATTCGTTTTGCTTAGTTTACCGTTTCCTTGTCATTCTACCCGGCCCCGTTTCCATGTCGGGTTTCATCGGCGAAGTCGCGGACAAGTACGCCCTGTTCTTCGTCAGCGAAGCAGTCCACTTGAGTGTACGTTGTGGAAGCTGTATCGGCGTCTTGTCGCGTCGGACTGGGCTCCGGGTTCGTTCGGGGCGACGTGGCGTCGTTGGGTGTAGCGCGGCCCGTTTGGACATACTAACACAGCCTAGCAATCCCAAGGGGCGCTGATGAAACCTAACACCCCCCACCCACCTCTTGTTTTCCGTCCTCCCGTTTCCCCCCCCTCCTATTTGCCCTTGCCTTTCCTTCCCCTTCGTTCTCCCCGCTTCCCCGTCCTCTTGCTCTCTTTTCTCCTTGTCTTCTTCCCCTCTTCCCTGGTCAGCGTGAAGGGCAGCAGCGCGACGATCGCTTCAACGGGGAGCCCATGGTTGGATGACCTGATTTCTCTCTCTATCCGCCCCCCCTCCTCTCTTGCCCCCCCCCGCCCTCTTCCTTGGCCTTTGGCCAGCTGGGGTCCCAAGGCGTTCCTTTTGCGAGGCGCGCCAGCTACGCGTGCGCCCCGCGTCGTCGTCGTCGTCGTCGCTGCCGCCTCCGTCGCGATGGTCGTCGTTGTCGCCGCAGTCGCTACGTTCCTCTCCTTCCTGTGCTGCGTGGGCCGGTCGCGGCGAACCCCCTGGCAGTCGTGCGATATCAGGTTGCCAGCAGGGTGCCTGTAGCCCGCGCGTTCCCTTTTGTCGCGCTTTGCTTTCGCTCTCGATTCATTTTTATGCTGACCAGCCGCCTTGAATCCAGGCTGACATCGAAGATCGTCTTGCTTGCGAAGCGCCGGCGGCGCGCGTGACCCTTCCTCCTTTTTTACGTTTTGGCAGATTTGACCCCCCTTGTGTCATTCTTGATGGCGCGCGCCGCCCGCCAGACCAACGCTGTTGCCAGCTGCAGCCCGCGCCGCCCGCTCGGCCAGCACTGCTGCCAGCTGCGCCGACGGACTCGTCATAGATGCGAGCCCAATCGATTATCCAGCTGGGCTTCAGCTTCAGCAAGACTCCTTCCCTCCCCCTTTCCCCTTGCCCTTCCTTCCCACCTTCGGCAAAGCAGCAGTCCCGAGCATGGAATGTGGACGGCCATTGCGGGCGCAGGCTGCCGTTGAATCTACGGGCGCCGCGGCTCACGATGAACATTTGCGCGGACCGCCTGCCTGTCGCACGCTTCCTCTCCTCCGTCCTTGCCTCCCGCCCCTCTTCATCCGGGGCTCCCTGCTGGCGGTGGCGGGGACGCCACGGCCTTCGCGAAGGCGCGCGGGAGAAGAACGGAACGCCGCACGGGTTGAGTCCGCCAGGGCGGGGGCGCCGGGAGTTGCTCTGGCCTCGGGAGGAATTTCGGGGCTCTCGTCCTCGCGAGGCCCACTGGCCACCCAGCTCCTTGTGCCCCCTTCCGGCCTTCTCCCTCATGGACAGTGCTTGCCCGTGTGCGATGGCGGGTTTTGTACGATAGTTTGATACATCTCGGTCTCTCTCTCTCTCTCTGTCTCTTGCTCTCCCCTCATTTCCGCCCTCGGTCCGAACCCTGCTAGTGGCGAGTACCATTGTCAGGCATCGGTGTCGTCGCGCATGCACTCGCATTCCACCGTTCCGTTGCTACAAAAAGACATTTGCTTCAATTCGGGCGTCGACGGCAGAGACGGCTACTATGTCAACGTGCCTAACAACAGCCGATCAGGGTTTTCGACAACAAGATCGGTCAAATTTTCGCGTGATGTCAGTTGCTGCATCGTTTGCTGGGGTGGGGGGCCGCAAGTTCGTCTACTGGTTCTGGCTCATGCGCGCACGTTTGCTTAGTTCGTTCTGGGGCCTCTCGGCTTGATGCCACACGCACCTCCTGTGTCCATGGAGTTTAACTCGACCGGCCCGCGTTTGCAGTGGAGAGGGCGCGTGCAACGCATGGCATCTCCCACGTTCTCCGGGGCCAGGAGGTGCCGGCAAGAGTCGTTCTCTTGTCGCTTCGGTCGATTTGCAACGCACGGCGGGGTGTAGCAACACCAGTGGCAGGTCGAGTCGGGGGCGCACACCTTACGCTGCAGGTGAGGCGCATCGCGCTTCCACCCGAAGCCCAACGTAGGCCATCGGCAATTCCACCGTCCGTTTCAACCGCATCCTGGCCCGCCAATTTCGTGCACAATTTCGGCTACTACACCGTCACACCTTACGATAAGCTTGTACAGAGCCTTCCGACAAGGAATGTATCATGACCTCGTCCAGTGTGTGTGTGTGTGTGTGTGAGTGTGTGTGTGTGTGTCTGTCTGTCCGTCTGTCTGTCTGTTTGTGTGTGTCTGTGCCTGTAAATCTGTGTGTGTCTGTGTGTGTCTGTCTGTGTGTATGCGATTGCCGCCCCGCGCCGCTGTCAGCTGCCGCCTCGCGGCCTGGCCGCCCCGCGCGCTTCCCGCAGCGCTGCAGCGCGAGAGTGCCCCCCCCTTCCCTTCTCCCTCCGCGGCCGCCCGCCGTTGCCCCTCCCCCCTCTCGCGCGCGGGACAATTCAATTCGCAACTCCACAGTCCGGATTTGCTCCGCGCGCGAGCGGATCGCCTCCGCCGCGCCGCGACGGAAGAAGTGCGCGTGCGTGTGTGTGTGCGTGTGTGTGTATATCTATATCTATATACACATATACATACGTTTCTGCGTGTGTGTGTGTGTGTGCGTGTGTGTGTGTGTGCGTGTGTGTGTGTGTGTGGATGCCCGTTCTTTCCTGGGAGTCTCAACCTTGCTGACGACGTTGCAACAGAAGGTAGGTCATTAGCCTTGAGCGGTCCCCGTCTTAGCGGGCAGTGTCTCCTCCTCGTGCCCTTGGAGCGATCCACACCAACCTTCCTGGTTCAAGTCGCGTGGTGGCCCCCCGATTCGAGAAGTCCGCGGCCCAGACTGTCCTTGGCATGCGCGCCCTCGTCGCGCCCATGGCACGAGCATGCGGGCAGTCGGCGGCACTGCCGCACCACAGCAACGCGGCCGCACATTCCCTGAGCAGCTTTGGGGCGCCCTGCGAGCCTCAGAGGTCCGCCGCCGCGCAGCCGAACCGCGGCACAGACGGGGCGCCTGAGAGGTTCACGTTGACTTCGGATGTGCCCGAGACGATCACGTCGGGTCGACCGCCACCGTCACGCCCTTGTCGGAGCCGGCGGGGCGGTGGACTTTCGCCTCCGAGGCGAGCGCGGGCCCCCATATCGCCGCCGGCGGCGTGCGCCGATGCGGTGCACACCGGGCGTGGCGTTGTGCGACATCAGCAAGCACGACCGCTGCGCCGTGGAGCCTCGGGAGCTCTTCGACAGCGAGGAGGAGGAAGAGGAGGAGGAGGAACAGGAGGAAGATAGAGGTCCTGGTGCGCGTGCTCGGTGCATATTTGGGCGCGCCTTCAGCGCGCGGCCGCGGGCGCGGGCACGCGCTGCGGCTACGGCGAAAGAGACCGCCGCGTGGCCGCCAGTGCGCGAGGAGGAAGAAGAAGAGGGCTTCCCATTGAACGGGGCCATTTATCCCGACATGGACGATGAAGGCGAGCCGTGGGTCAAGCTTGTGCGGGAGTTCTGGTCAGCGCTGGTGCCGAAGCGCCGCGGCGCCCCCCTCGTGACGATCGTGCTCCTCGGGGAGCTCCAGTGCCAGTCGCACGCAGAGAAATCGTGCAGAAGTCCGCACGGAGCTCCAGTCCCACCCAGAGATCGCGCAGCCGATCGTCGCCGAGAAACGCGCATAATTTCGGTCATCCTTGTCAGTCGGACTACCTTTGCGCAGCGTAACCTCGCCGAAAAACTCACTCTCCTCGCGAGGATCGTTCCCTTCTGGGAGCACCACCTGGCCTAGTTCGATACGCGCCTGACGAAGACAACGCATTGGAGGAAACTCAAACTAGTGTCCCAGTTGTGGGCGCTCGCATGTCGTCACGCGTCCGCGCCACGTCCGTCGGCTTCGCGTTTTGCCCCGTGGGAGCTCGCATGGGGTCACGCCGGCAAGCCCGTCGCGCAGCGTCGCGCCCCAGCGCGGACCCATCGCAGCCGATGCAGGCGCCAAAGCCATGCGGCCACGATCACCAATCCCAGAATATCCGCCAATGCGAAGCCGAGTTGGCTTTGCAGGGTGGGTTCACGAGCGCAGATGCGCGCGGGTTGGCGCGTACTTGCATATCTACGGAGGCTGGGGGGTTCGCGGCCGACATCCCGGTTCTGCGGATTCTCAGGTTGGCGACGCGGTTCGAAAGCTGCTGGACGACGTCGGTTCCGCGATCCCGGCCCTGGCGCTGCAGTCCAATGGCGAGTGGTCCAACTGGGCGAGCGCCACCTTCGCGGGGGGTTGCGCGCAGCTTGCCACGCGCAAAGGTGTGGTAGAGTTACGTCGGCCATGTGGCGCGACCGCGCCCTCCGAATTTGCCGATGATTGTTTGTCTGAGCGGCAGAAGATTTGGGCCATCCGTGATTGCAGCGAGGCCCCTGCTACTCGTCGGACGTGGAGCGCGGGAGGCCCTTCCTGAGCTCGGGGTCGCCGAAGTGCGCGAGGGTCCCCGGGCCTTCCTCACGCAGGCTGGCCTCGGCAAGCTGGGCCTCAGCCCGAGCGCGCTCGAGGCGACGTCCGGAGGGCCTCGCCCCGTTTCGCCCTTGTGCTCGCTGTTCAGTTCGCTGGGCAGGCTGCGGAAGGCCATATCGCGCGAACGGGTGGGGGGGTCGGGCGCACCGCGGCCCGCTTCTTAGGGCGCAGCGGGCCGCAGTGAGGTAGCAAGGCCATGAATCTAAAAACGTTGGGCTTCTTCTCCAGGCTTTGAGGAGCGGCGGGCTCGTGGCCTCAGCTGCTGAAGCGTCGTCTCGTCTGTCGTCGTCCGCCCGCGTCTTGAGGCCGAGGGGCAGTGCCCGCGCGCGCAATTGGGGTCGCGAGGTTGGTTTCCCATGGCCGGGTCGTGCGGGCCCTGAGGAAGCTCTGCCGAAGAAGCTGTTGACCTGGCGAGAGAAAAGTAACGTGTCCGCGCTCCGTCGCGCGGCCCCGGGCAACGTTAGCATGCCCCGGAGGATTGGTGGCGCACCTGCGGGGGGGCATGGGGCGGGGGCCAGTTGCTTGACCGACCCGGCGCCGACGGGGCATCGGACGGCCGCTGGGGCCTCGGTGGGCGCGAAGCGGTCGGGATCTCTGAAGGCCTGGCTGACTGCCCACGCCCGACCCCTACTCCGACACCATGTTCGACGGTGCCTTTTTTTTCCCTGCGGAGATGTATCACGACGGCTGGATGGATGTTCCAGGATCTCTCTACATGGATTGCAGCGCGCTGGGGGGGGGCCACCCGAGGCAGTGTTCCAGAGCGCCCCACTTGGAGAACTCTGTCCGTGGCCCGATTGGTGTTGCGGTGTGGTTTCTCATTTTTGTGAGGTTTCCATGGCTTACTTAGTTATGTCTCGTTTCATGTTCATGGTGTCATTTCCGTTTGCTTCTTGTCGATTATGTTATTGCAGTGGTCTTGGCAGGGGGTTTAGTTCCATTAGCTGTTGTTGGTCCCGCTTCATCGTTTCAACAGTCTCCGCTGTCATTTCGTTTGCCCGCCGTGGCATGGTTGATCCTTGCGCGGTCTCGGCCTGGATTTTCGTTTTGTTTTCCGGGGCCTTGCTGTTGCGGTGTTCATTCTGCTTGCGTTCCCATGGCCTCGCTGGTCTGAGCGGTTTGGTTTGCTGTGTTCATTGTGATTCCATTATTTTTATTTTTTCCTCACCATTTTCTGGGCGGCATTTCCGTCTGTTTCCCGTGTCCTGGCTGTTCGCTCTCAGGGCTAGCGGTGTGTGTCCGTTCGTTTCCGTTGGTTTCGCCGTTTGGCTTCACCAGTCTCGGCTGTCATTTTGTCTGCCTGCTGGGGCCTGGTTGCTCTCTCAGCGGTATGGGTTTCCAGATTCGTTCTGGTGTCCACGACGCCTTGCTGCCGTCCATGCATGCGGCTCTCCCGAGGCCTCGCAAGGTTTTTGTTTGCGGTGCCGTTGCTGTGTCCGTTCTTCTCGGGCCGCTTTTGACCAACATCGGTATGGTTCAACCGATGCCCATCCCCATCCCCATCCCCTTCGAGACCCCCGCCAAATTACCACCCCAGTTGGGGATACACCCCTCGAAACCCGAGGGGAACGGCCTATATCCCCATCCAGGAGGGTAAATCGGCCAGTGGGGCCCAGGCCACGCCGTGCTAAACGATACTCACAAAATGGGTCTGTTTCGACGTCCATTGGCTCTCTTGTTACGCTGCTGTCGTAAGGGAGCCGTCGCGGGCCACTGCTGTCCCCGGGTGTGTGTGTGTGTGTGTGTGTGCTTCGAGCCGTCTCAGATTCCCCCTCCGCCGCCCTTATCCGTCCTCGTCCTCCTCCGGCAAGCTGGCCGATTCGCTTCTCGGCGCCCCCGTGTAGCTCCATCGCTAGTGCAGCCCTTCTGCATCGCGGCCGAAACCACAAGGGTGCTTGTTTCGAGCCGTCCTGGGTGTCGCTGCGGACCGCGACTGCTTGCGGGCAGTGCCTTTCGAGTTCCCTCGGGGGCGCTTTGCCTCCCGCCGTGGCCGAGGGAGCGCTGTGCTGCCTCGGGCCGCGGCTGTCCCAAGGGTCACCGAGCGCGTTCCACTGCTCGCAAAGTGCCTGCTCGCAAAAGTCAGGAACAAAAGGTCTGACCCGATGTAATTGATCGCAAATCTCCCATGGCGGATCCAGGCCATTTGCGAGCAGTGACTTTGCGAGTAGCGGAGCGCGCTCGGCTAAAGGGAGCGCGTGTTCGAGCTCCCTTGGGTTGCTGTGTCGGGCCGCGGCCGTTCCAAGGGGAGTGCGTGTTCGAGCTCCTGACCCGCTCGGCGCAGAAGTCTTCCGCGTCTGAGTGCTCCGCCTCCCCCCGTCCTCTGCGCGGCCGCCCTGGTGCTTCTCCCCCTCTTGCACGCCGGCCAGTTGGCCACTCGGTTGCCCCGCAGTGCCAGTCGCGAGATCCCTTGGGTGTTGTTTCGGGCCAGAGCCTCGTGTTCGCAGACTGCCTCTCGAGCCAGTGGACAGGCAGTGGCGCTCCGAGCGTGGCCCCAGAATATAGTCTACGCGCCCATGGCCCCCGACGTCGCGAGCTCCTTGCAGGGGGCCGGACGCCCCCCGAGCACAGCCAGCTGAAGGCCACAATCCGAGAGAGGCCAGGGCCGAGATGCACTGGGCCACGGAGCAGGGCCGGATCTAGAAGGCCAAGGCCGCGAGTGTTTCAAGGGAGCTTGTTTCGAGCTCTCTTGGGTGCTGGCTCGGGTCGCGTTCCGTCGAGGGTGCTTCGGGTTCCCTGTGGTGCTGCCTCGGGCCACCGCCGCTTCCTAGGAGTGTGTGCGTGTGTGTGTGTGTGTGTGTGTGTGTGTGTGTGTGTGTGTGTGTGTGTGTGTGTGTGTGTGTGTGTGTGTGTGTGTGTGTGTGTGTGTGTGTGTGCTCGAGCTTTCTTGGGCGGTCGTTCTCGATGGCGGCAGGTTGGTTATGGGGTGGAAGCTATGTGTGCAAACCCACATCGCCTTGCCTTGTATGACGAGTTGCCCGCTACAAGCCAGCGTTGGCACGTGCACGGGCGTTCGGAGAGCATTCCCCTGAGCTTGTACAAGGGTGCAGCTAAGAGGTAAAACGCTGGATGCCTATGCGACTATGCAGTTTCCCCTCAATCCCCTTCTGCATCCCCTCGGTGGAGTGGCCCTGGGTGCAGAGCTTCATTCCTCACCGCCCACCAAACCACCCCAACCCAACCCGAAGGCCCCTATTTGCCCTCCATTTCCAGTTGGGGGGGGTCGGGGAACGTTGAGAAAACACACATGAAGCTCGTACCCCCCCCAACCCGAAATTCGGGTCTTCGGGTTGGGTTGGGGTGGTTTGGTAGGTAGCCAATTCCATGGCGCTTCCTGACCGTCCTGATCTCTCATTGCTACATGCGCGCTCAAGGACGAGTCTCGAGGGAGGCGGAATGTCCACGAGGGCGCCACAGCCTGGCTGCAGGCGCAGCGGCGAAGTGAGGTCGCAGCGGCGCTTCGATTGCGAACGCCCTCAGCTTCGGCTTCCTCGACGTATCACCCCGTTCGCCCTTCAGCGGAGGATCCAGGGCCGGTCGGCTGGATAGGAAAGGGGGTATGGCTTGGGCTCTTGCTGCTCGTACTCTCTTCGCCATCGTGGTTCCCTGCTCTCCCCCCCTCCTTTACAGCTTTCGCTCGTACGCATCGTCGTGTGCCTCGCATGCCGCTCCCAGGCCGCGCTCTCGTTTTTTGTTGTTGGTGTGTGATGTGTGTGATGTTGGTCCTTCCTCTTTCTGTCTATCACCCTCTCGTTGTCATTTGCTGGTATGTTTGAATAAATTTGCTTATATGTCTAATGTCTGTATATGGTTGTATCGTTCGTTATTCCCCCTTTTCCCTTTCCTCACCGCAGCCCATCGCCAGCCGAGGATTGACGGCGAAAAGAGGAAAGAGAAGGCTACCACCAAGCGGAGCGGCAAAGAGCTGTTCAACGAGCTCCTCGAAAAGGATGGGCGCCCTTCTCGCCTTTACACTCTACATTACAATGTGTCTAGATTTATTGCGAAGGCCTACGGCCAGTGCCGCCGATATACATGTGTGACAAAGATGCGTTGGGCCCTCGAGGATGCAGCGCGCCGCTGGTGGCTCTGCAGGGACAGCTCGGCTACGCGCAAGCAGAACCCTCAGCCAGAGTGGCCTTCGATGCGGGCCCTCATGGCCGCCCCCAGCACTGGAAGGATCAAAAGCAGCAGTGACGCGCGCGTCGTCTTTCAACATATTATACGTGCTACTCGCTTGCTCTCTGTGTTTTCTTGAACGCTACATGTCTTCAACAGTCCAGTCAGTAAAATCAGGTGCACGGGCTGGGAAGGGTCCCGCTGATCCGTAGGTCCGTCCGTCCGCAGTTGTTTCTCCAGCGCGCCTCGTGCACCCAGGCGCTTTTGGGACCCAACAGGGGCCTCGTTCCTTATCTAGCACTCCTTATGGTAGCAGCTTCGCTGCAAAGCGCTGTCGGGATCGTCCGGCCGGCCTGACGTTGATGCCAGTCCTGCTCTCCGACCAGCACTGGCTCGCGCGCTTGGATTCCCCCCCCTTCCCCAGTTGCCCTCTGAGGCCTCGAGCCAAGAGGCCACGGTGCAGCCAGAACGGTGCCCGATGGCCGGCTCTAGCGGGCCCCTGGCCACCCCGACCCTGATATAACAGCGGCTACACGTATCACCACTCACCAAACCACCCCAACCCAACCCAAAGGCCTCAGTTTGCCCTCCATTTTCAGTGGGGGGGGGGTCGGGGAACATCGAAAAACCACATATGGAGCCCATACACCCCCCCAACCCGAAATTCGGGTCTTCGGGTTGGGTTGGGGTGGCCTGGTAGGTAGTCAACGTAAGAGTGACCCTTCGCCGGAGTGACCTTTGGGTGCGGGCTCACCTGGGTCCCCCCCCCCGATCGCTGCGGGCGAAGACATAGCAGCGGCCTGCGCGCTTGGATTTGGCCACCTCGCGCCCCCATGATCCGCGCACCAAAAGTCACTCTTGCCCAGGGTCACTCCTGCGTGTGGCCGATGGCGGGCGTTTGGTCAGCAGCCTTGGGCACCTACTCTATGAGCAGCCCATCTCTGGCATGGATTCTTGCACGGGTGCGCTTATCAGAGCGCTTCGGCTTATCATCAGGGTGGTTCTTATGCCCTCTGCCAGAAAGCCTCAGCCGACATTGCTGGGGCAACGTTAGGGGGGGGAGAAATTCCGGGAGAGATGCATCGACCCCCGATCGCCCATGGATCGCCGATTGGGGGCCGAAAGCCCACACTGCTCAGGAGTGCGGATTCGCTGTTGGCGGCATATCAATGATCCATCGGCGATGTATCGCCCATTCCAGCTCGATGCTTCTCCCCCCGAGCCAGTCCCTCCGCAACATTCCCCCTCGGGCTGAGAGGGCTCCGCGCCGGCTGCGCGGGCGGACGGAGCCTCGCTCGGGCCCCCTCGGGCTTTGTCTCCGCCCGCCCGCGCCCCCCTCCGATCCGTGGCGTCCCGATGTGTTGTTTCACTCTGGGCACCTCTTCCTCCTCCTCCTCTTCCTCCTTGGGTACGTTCGCTCCTCCTCCTCCTCCTCCTCCGCCTCCTCCTCCTCCTCCTCCTCCTCCTCCCCCTTTGCCACTTCCTCTTCCACTTCCTCTTCCTCCTCCTCCCCGGTTCCTCCTCTTCCTCCTCCTCTCGTAGTGGCTCTTTCTTTGGAGTCGAAGAGGGACGCGCGCCGAAATCCAATCCGAACGCACTTGCATTTGTTGTATGGTTTCAGTATGCAGGCGCGCCCTGCCGCGCGGTGGTTTGCTGGCACATCTTCGAGCGTGCTGAACTCATGATACGGGGCATTCACTTTGCACGTTGCGCATGCTATCGCGTACCAATCACGCGTGGCTTGAGCTACTTCGCAGACGCTTTCTGGCGAGGCACTTCGGGGGCCCTCTCAGGGCACGCCGGGGCCGCCGAGTGCCGAGAGCTCCCGGCAACCATTGTCGACAGTTGGCAAGGCAACGCCGCCGGAAGGGCCGCCGAAAGATCCGTGCCGAAAGTGCCGCCGAAAGGGCTGCCGAAAGAGCCGTCGAAAGGGCCGCCACAATTGCCGTCGAAGTCGCCTAAGAAATTGCCGCCAAAATCGCTGCCAAATTGCTGCCGGAATTCCCGCCGAAATTTCGCAGTGTGCCGCCGAAAAGAAGCGGAATTTGACCTTGGCTGTGACTCTGTGCCTGTGTCCGCGGCGTCATCGTGCTTCATAAACCAGTGATTTCGCTTGGGACAGGGCAATGGCAATTTTGGCGGATGAATTTCGGCGGCTGAATTTCGGCGGCTACTTTGGCGGAGTTCGCAATTATTTCGGCGGCAATTTTGGCGGCAAGTTCGGCGGCAATTTCGGCCGCAATTTCTGTTGCGATTTCGGCGGCGATTTCGGCAGCAATTTCCGCCGCGATTTCGGCGATGATTTCAGCGGCCCTTTCGGCGGCCTTCCTGGCGGCTCTTTCAAGGGCCCTTTCGGCGATTTTGCCTTTGCAGCTGTCGACGAATGCTGCTGGGAACTCGCAGCATTCGGCTATTGCAAAGAGTCAATGTGCGGCGGCGCAAGCTGACGTGCCCACAGCGCGATGATGGTTGTATCATTTGTTCTCTTGTGGTCTTTGCGGTGATGACGGCGACGGCCGCGATGATGTTTGGTTCAGAAAGGATGCTCGTCAGGGGGCTTTGCAGGCAGGCTTGCACGCCCAGCACTGCATGCCTTCAAAAAAAATCAATTGCCGCGCAAATTCTTCGGAATTCGGCGGTTATCTGGGGGGCCGTGGTGGCTCCAAAGAATGATCCTCGGTGACCTCCTCCTCCTCCTCCTTCTCCTCCTCCTCTCCTGCTGCCCTCTTGTGGGAATGGGGGAGGAGGGAGAATCGCGGGAAACTTGGCCATCGCGGCTGCGGCGGTTAGGCCACCCACGGGAAGAAAGAGAGAGAAAGAGAGAACACCAAAACAACAAACATAAAAAACATAGATAGGGAGAGGCGAGGGGAGCGGAGGGGAGCGGGCGAGACCTCCCCCCCAAGCTCGCCGGAGGAGCTGCTGCTGCCGCCGCGCTGCTGCTACTGCTGCACGCCGCGGCCGGCGCTGCTGGCCGCGCCGCCCCCCCCCCACACACACACTGCGCAGGCGGACAAGCAGGGGATCTTCCAGGATCCGCCGGGCGGGCATCCGCCATCGTAGGCGCTGTTGTGTGTAAAGGGGTGTGGTGCTACTGCTGCGCCCGGCGATGCTTTCGCATCGTAGACAAAGCATGGCCGTTGCCACGACTGGCGCTGTGCCCCTTCGTGCCACGCCCCTTTTCGGGCTCCATCCGGCGACGAAGCCTATGCACCATACGCTCAGACAGCCGACAGCATGACCTCTTCCATCCTGGCGGTTTCCAACGGGGCCGGCCTCCGGGGGCGGGCCCCGAGGCCATCAAGAATGGAGCCAGGATGAAAATCGGGATCCCGCAAAGGGGGGGGGGGCCACAGGGGGGGGGGGAAGTCGGTCCGCTGGCGCACCGAACCGCCCAACACCGATGCAAGACAAAGCCTCCGGCCGCCGCCGGAACCCGAGAGGTGTCGTCAACTGGTTCGCGGCGGGCATCGTTTTTCGTCGTCGTCCGTCGTCGTCGTCGTCGTCGTCGTCGTCGTCGTCGTCGTCGTCGTCGTCGATCGTCGGAAATTCGATGCGCCAGCGGATCGAACTCCCCCGCCCGGCAGGGTCCCCACCCCCTCCTTTGTGGACCCCGAGAAAAGCTGGCCCTGGGGAAGGGCTCGGGACCTCTGCGGGGCCAGGCCCGTCCCGGGCGTCCAGGTGCGGTGAGTGTGCATCCCTAGCCAAGCCAGGAGGGCGCGCGCGGGTTTTCAGGATTGGGTTTCTTGCGATGGTTTCTTGCGGCAGCGCCCGCACTGTAGAGACCTCGTCGCCCTCCGACCGATCCCCATCCCAACTGGGCCAGTGGTATCTCGGCCCCACCAGCCCACCCCTCAAGGAGGGGGCAGCTCCCGCGAGACCAGCAGAGATCCCCACTGTGGGAGACTGGGTCGGCCAGTGGGGCCAAGGCCGTGCCAGTGAGGATGGCATCGGATAAGTCATTTTCCTGGGGGGTAGGGCCAGCAGAGGAGGGTTACAGCTCGTACCGGGGAAACTTCGCGCCCAACCCGGGAAGCAAGGGACGCCCGCCAACCTTGGAAACGCCAGCACCGTGGGCGGCAAAGCTGCGTCTGCAGCGCGGACCCTGTTTTCTTAGTTGCGGCGTCTTCGTCTCCGCGTGTGATGTGGCTTCCAGGTACGGCCGTGCTCTGGAGACGACGAGGCGTCCCTTAGGTAGTATGAGGGTGTTATGGTCATGGTGTTAGGGTTGTGGTCCTGGTGGTAATGTCAGGGTGTTTCGGATAGGGTCTGATAGGGTTCGGGTGTCAGGGTTCGGGTTGATGTCTACATAGCGTTTGCGCGGATCATTCCCTCCCGCAATAAGCCCCTCTGTTCAGATCGAGGGTTCGGAGGAAACGACGTGCACCGCATAGCATTTGTTGCGCAGATTCGTGTTTGGGTGGGGGGTGGGGGGGGGGGCGAAATCGAGATGTGCACGATCCGTGTGCGGGCACGGGGATCGTATGGGTTGGGTAGGCGTGAAGATCGGAAAGTGCCCGCGCCGCACCATTGTGTGAGTGGATGTGGCTCAGCTTGAGACGATCTTGCGATCAGCCGACGTGCACCGCTTCCCGTGTTTTTGCAAGGGATCGCAGAAAGGGTCGCGGCCCCGGGCCTGTTTTCGGCGGTCGGAGACTGCACGGGGCGGGGCTGGACGAAAGGGTTATGGTTCGGACTGGGATCTGGAAGCTTGGGTGCTACGGTCAATGCTTGGGGTCATCGTCGTCCGATTCCTTGCCAGTATGGTTTCTCTCTCTGTTCTCGCCCTCCTCATCCACATCCCCCTCATTGCCATCATTGTGTCGTCGTCGTCGTTTTCGACGTCGCGTGAAGTGACCGTGCTGGCCCTCGTGCGGCGCCTTCTTATCGTCCACACCGTGCGTCCTGCTGGTCTTCCTTTCCGTCCCCTCCCTCCTTCCCCTTGTCATGTGTGTAAGGTCTTGGGACCCTCAAGGCGTCTAAGAGTGCGTTTCTTGTTCGCGCTGTCGCTGCACCACTTTCGTTTCATGGCCGCCTTCCTCCGCGATGGGGCGTTCTAGTTTCGTTCCCTCGTCGTTCCTATTTCGTTTGATGTTCGTCCCATTCCAGTTTCGTCCCCTCCCTCCTTGCCCTCCCCTCCCCCCTCCCCCCCGTCGTCCGATCCCCGAGGGGGGGGGGGGGCAGCGGAGGGCCGCCCCCAGCCAGTCGCAGCCCCCGCGCCCGAGGAGAGGACCCTGGAGGCCGCGCAGCGGAAGCTCGAGAAGCGCTTCGGCAGCGACGAGCACTGGGTCGGCCGCGGGGGGGGGGGGGAGCAGGAGGGAGCAGGAGCAGGAGGAGGAGGAGGAGGGAGCAGGAGAAGGAGGAGCAGGAGGACTTGAGGAGGAGGAGGAGGAGGAGGAGGAGGAGGAGGAGGAGAGGAGGAGGAGGAGGAGGAGGAGGAGGAGGAGGAGGACTTGAGGAGGACTTGAGGAGGAGGAGGAGGAGGCGGAGGAGGAAGAGGGAGCAGGAAGAGGAGGAACAGGAGGACCCGAGGATTTGTTGTGCTCCTCCAAGGGACGCCGATCATGCCAGCTACGGGAGGACCCGAGGAGGAGGAGCAGGAAGAGGAGGAGGAGGAGGAGGAGGAGAAGGAGGAGGAGGAGGAGCGGGAGGAGGAGGGAGGATGTTTGACGGTCTTTCGGCCCGTCGAGGGCCACATAAAGCCATCAATCATTCCGACGGTGGTGCCCCACTTGATAATAGTATAGACCCATACGGAAGTAATCCTCATCGTCATCCCTGTGACTACGCAAGGTCGCTTCCCGTCCGGTATCTGCTGATCCCTGCCGACGCTTGCAGGCTTGATCGAGGATGGCCGCCTCGGTGTACACAGGGCGCTCGACGGAAACGAGGTTCCCGGCCGAGACTCTCGATACCCATTGGGCGTTGCGTAATGGGGGGGTCACAAACGGGGGGGTGGCGAGGGTGGTCCGAAAAGGTACCCAAATGGTACCTAAACGAGCCCCCTGGGGCTCCAGAGGGGCCCGAAAGGGGCGCGAAAGGGGACCGTTTCTGACCTCCCCATTTATGGCCCCCCCAGTAAGCCACGCCCAAATTCGGTACTCGGATTCCCAGGCGTCACCAGCCCTGCGCTTCTGCACACAATCCCGAACCCTGCCGCACTGGGCTCGTGGCATGCCGGCGGGGGGCCCGTAGAGGGCTGGGCCCCCGCTCGAGGCTTTCCTCGCGACTCGCGTACACATTGTTCGTGTCTATTTTTGTTGAAAGTTCTTTGATCTTTTGGGGGGTCCAAGATCCTTTCATTCCTTTGATCTTTTGATCTCGAGTTCTTCGAAAGTTCTTGATCTTGATTTCCTTTCTTTTTTGATTTCTTCGAAAGTTCTTTGATCTTTTGGGGGGGCAAGACCCTGCCATTTCTGATGGTTCTATCCCGGGCCTCTTCCTGGCCACTAGGGGGCCAGGAGCAATTCGAAACGAGCACAACTAGAAACAAACAAATTGAACACGATTAGAAATGAACGACGTGTACAGGCGAGCGCCCGAGACATCCTGCCAGTTTGCTCAGGAACGAGTCTCCCGCTCGAGCCCTCGTTTGGGTTCAGACTTGCAGTATCCCGATGGCCGCCTCGGATTAGCCACGCGAGGTGAGCACCCCGCAGGGAGGGGGCTCTCGCTCGAGACTTCCCCGCGATCCACTCACGGACGACGAAGTCGCTCGAGGCAGCCTCGGGTTGATCCGGAGCGAGGCTGCCTCTCGAGACTTCCTCGGGATTCAGGCCCCCCGGCGTTGCCAAGCTGGTGGTTATCCTGATCATCCTGTGGTGTTGGGTCTTCGCCGTGCGAAGACAGCGCCCCGCGTCGCCTTGTTCCTCCTCCCCCTCCTTCCTTCTCCCATTCGTGCCTCTGCACTCCGCGTCCCATGTCGGCACAACCTTCACACACTCCCTGGCCCCATAGGGAGCTCCACCGAGGGCCTCAGTGGCGGTGTCCGCATGCGGTTCCCCCACTCAGAACATCGCATCGTGGCCCCATGGGGAGCTCCACTGAAGGCCTCAGTGGCGATGTTCGCATGCGTTTCCTCCAACCAGTGCAATGCTCCGTGGCCCCATAGTGAGCTCCACGGAAGGCATCAGTGACGATGTCCGCATGCGCCCCCCCCCCACCCAGTACGGTGCTGTCGTGGCCCCATAGGGAGCTCCATCGAGGGCCTCGGTGGCAGTGTCCGTATGCAGTTCCCCCACTCAGCACAGCGCCACGTGTCCCCATAGGGAGTGCTACCGAAGGCCTCAGCGGCGGTGTCCGCATGCGGCTCCTCCACCCAGTACAACGCGTCGTGGCCCCACAGGAAGCTCCACCGAAGGCCTCAGTGGAGGTGTTCGCACGCGGTTTCCCCACCTAGTACAGCGCTTGGTGCCCCCGTATGGAGCTCCACCGAAGGCCTCAGAGGCGACGTTCGCAGGCGCCCCCCCCACCAAGTACAGCGCTTCGTGGCCCCAGAGTGAGCTCCACCGAAGGCAAGGCCTCAGGGGCGGTGTCCGCAAGCGGTTCCCCCAATCAGTGCAGCGTTTCGTGGCCCTATAGGGAGCTCCACCGAAGGCCTCAGTGGCGGTATTCGTATTCGCATGCGGTTCCACCACCCAGTACAGCGCTTCGTGGCCTCATAGTCAGCTCCACCGAAGGCCTCAGTGGGGGTCTCTGCATGCGGTTTTCCCACCCAGTGCCGCGCTTCGTGGCCCAATTGGGAGCTTCACAAAAGGCATCAGTGACGGTGTCCGCATGCGGGTCCCCCACCTTGTACAGTGCTTCGTGGCCCCATGGGGAAGCTCCACTGAAGGCCTCAGTGGCGGTGTTCGCATGCGGTTCCCCCACCCAGTACAGCGCTTCGTGCCCCCACTGGGAGTTCCACCGACGGCCTCATGGCGCTGTCCGCATGCGGCTCCTCCACCCAGTACAGCGCTTCGTGGCCCCATCGGGAGCTTTACCGGATGCCTCAGTGGCGGTGCTCGCATGCGGTTCCCTCACCCAGTACAGCGCTTCGTGACCCTATAGGGAGCTAGCTCCACCGAAGGCTTCAGTGGCGACGTTCGCATCCGGCCCCCCCCACCCAGTACAGCGCTTCGTGGCCACATAGGGAGCTCGACCAACGGCATCAGTGGCGGTGTCCGCTAGCGGTTCCCCCCCCAGTAGAACGTTTTGTGGAACGATAAGGGAGTTCCACCGATGGCTTCAGTGGCGGTTGTCCGCATCCGTTTCCACTACGCCCCATAGGGAGCTCCACCGACGGCCTCAGTGGCGGTGTTCGCATGCGGTTCCCCCGCACAGTACAGCGCTTCGTGGCCCTATCGGGAGTTCCACCGACGGCCTCAGCGGCAGTGTTCGCATGCGGCCTCCCCCCCCACACACACATACCCAGTACAGCAGTGCAGCTCTTCCTGGCCCCATAGGGAGCTCCACCGAAGGCCTGAGTGGCGGTGTCCGCATGTGGTCCCCCCGCAACGTACAGCGTTTCGTGGCCCAATTGGAAGCTCCACCGAGGGCCTCAGTGGAGACGTTCGCATGCGGTTCCCCCACCCAGTACACCGCGTCGTGGCCATACAGGGAGCTCCACCGAAGATCGCAGTGGCGGTGTCCGCTAGCGGTTCCCCCACTCAGAACATCGCATCGTGGCCCCATCGGGAGCTTTACCGGATGCCTCAGTGGCGGTGCTCGCATGCGGTTCCCCCGCCCAGTACAGCGCTTCGTGGCCCTACAGGGAGCTCCACCGATGGCTTCAGAAGCGGCGTTCGCATGCCTTTCCACCGAGTGCAGCGCTTCGTATCCCCATAGGGAGCTCACCGAAGGCCTCAGTGGCGGTGTTCGCATGCGGTTCCCCCCCCACACACACCACACACACAAACACACACACACACACATGCACACACACACACACCATGCACACACACACACACACGCACACACACAAGCACACACACCATGCACACACAAACACACGCACGCACGCACGCACGCACGCACGCACGCACGCACGCACGCACGCACGCACGCACACACACACACACACACACATACACACACACATACACACACATACACAGACGCACACAGATTACAGCGCTTCGTGGCCCCATCGGGAGCTCCACCGACGGCCTCAGAGGCGGTGCTCGCTTGCGGAAGGCCTCAGTGGCGGTGTTCGCATGCGGTTCCCCCGCCGCGTGCAGCACTTCGTGGCCCCAAATAGGAGTTACACCGAAGGCCACAGTGGCGGTGTTCGCAAGCGTCTCCCCCACTCAGTATAGCGCTTCGTGGCCCCATAGGGCACCCAACTTAGGCCTCAGTGGCGGTGTTTGCATGCGTCTCCCCCACTCAGTACAGCGCTTCGTGGCCCCATAGGGAGCTCCACCGAAGGCCCCAGTGGAGGCTCAGCCACTTTGCGGCGAACCCCTCACACTTTCCGCGGCCCCGTGGTGGGTTCACTTGAGGCCTCAGAGACAGCGTTCACATGGCGGCCCCGGCTCATATCGGCATACGCTTCATGGCCCCATAAGGAGCTACACCCAAGGCGATTCCCTTAACTACATATGGTTGGGTCCTTCGCCAGGATACCTACATGGCATTTCGATGGCCGCCTCGGAATGCCAACGTGACTTCTGGGCCCCATAGGGAGAGGGCTCCCGCTAGAGACTTCCTCTCGATTCGGGCTTCCGGGTGTCACCAAACTTGTGTTTTTGCTGGGTATTCCGATGGCCGCCTCGCGTTGCCAACATGATGCGCGCGCCCCATAGAGGGGGGGGGGCTCCTCGGCCAGATTTCCCCACGATTCACTCACAGACGGGGCTCCCGCTCGAGACTTCCTTGGGATTCGGGTTCACAGGTGTCACCGAACTTCAGCTTTTGCACGGTATTCCGATGACCGCCTTGGATTGTCAACGTGACCCGCAGGCTCCATAGGGATGGGGCTCCCGCTCGAGACTTCCTCGGAACTCAGCGGGTGTCACAAAACTTGTGTTTTATACGGTATTCCGATGGCCGCCTTGCATTCTCAACCTGATCCGCGGGCTCCACAGGGATGGGGCTCCCGCTCGAGACTTCACAGACGAGGCTCCCGCTCGAGACGTCCTCGGGATTCGGGCTCCCAGGTGTCACCAAGCTTATGTCTTTACATGGCATTCCGATGGCCGCCTCGGATTACCAACACGATCTGCGGGCCCCACAGTGAGGGGGCTTCCGCTCGAGACCTCCTCGCGATTCACTCAAAGACGAGGCCTCCGCGCAAGAGTTCCTCCGTCTGAGTGTGTGCTTGATTGAGTGAGTGTGTGAGTGCGCGAGGGTGTGATGATGATGTTGATGATGGTAAGGATGATCATGCTGATAATCATGATGATGCTCCTGTTTATGATGATGATGCTGATGCTGATGCTGATGATGATGATGGTGATGGTGATGGTGGTGATGGTGGTGATGATGGTGATGATGGGGGTGATGGGGGTGATGGTGATGATAATGATGGTGGTGTTGAGATTGATGCTGATGATGCTGATCATGATGATGCTGATGATAAGGATGATGATGATGATGATGATGATGATCATGATGATGATGATGATGATGATGATGATGATGATGATGATGATGATGATGATGATGATGATGATGAGTGCGTGAACGTGAGTGCGTGAGTGCGTGAGTGCGTGAGTGCGTGAGTGCGTGAGTGCGTGAGTGCGTGAGTGCGTGAGTGAAGGACGGAAGAGGGGAAGGGGTGAGGTGTTCTTGCGCGGGGTTTCCAGAGAAAACAAGATACCCCTTTGGATGTGGTGAAAGAAATGTCCGTCGTGCTTTGTTGTCCCACCCGTGCTGTGGTGTTGGGTCCTCGTTTTGAAGAGACAGCGCCCCGCGTCCTCCTCTCCTCCTCGTTCCCTCCCTCCCTCCTCCCATCCGTGCCTTTGCACGCTGCACTGCTTCTGCCCTCCGTAGTTTTCTCACAAACTGTACGTGCCCCCAGAGGGAGCTCGACCAACTAAGGCCCAACTGCCAGGATCCGCATGGAATCGCCGCCTCATTTCGGCACACCCCTCACAGGTTTCGTGCCCCCATTGGGATTTCCAGCTAAGGCCCAAATGCTAGGGTCCGCAGGGCGTCGCCGCTTCATGTCGGCACGCCCCTCACCTTCCGTGGCCCCACAGGGAGCTCCAACTGAGGCCCCACTGCCAGGGTCCGCCTGGCGTCGCCGCCTCATTCCGCCACACCCCTAGGGTTCGCATGGCGTCGCCACCTCATGTCGGCACACCCCTCACACGCTTCGTGGCCCCATAGCGGGCTCCAGCGAAGGACCAGATGCCAGGGTACGCATGGCGTCTCCGCTTAAGCTTGACACACTCCTGACACGTTTCGTGGCCCCACAGGGAGCTCCAACTAACGCTCAAAATCCAGGGTCCGCATGGCGTCGCCGCCTCATGTCGGCACACCCCTCACACGCTTCGTGCCCCCATGAAGAGGGTTGGGGGCTCTCGCGAAGGCCCAAATGCTAGGGTCCGCAGGGCGTCGCCGCTTCATGTCGGCACGCCCCTCACCTTCCGTGGCCCCACAGGGAGCTCCAACTGAGGCCCCACTGCCAGGGTCCGCCTGGCGTCACCGCCTCCTTCCGGCACACCCCTCACGCGCTTCGGGCCCGCACAGGGAGCTCCAGCCAAGGCCCTCAGAGCGTGAATTACCTACCCCGCTTTCGCTTCCAGGCAAAACCAAGTCATACCACGCGCCTCCTCGTCAAGCGGCCTGACCAGTACAGGCCGTAGTTTGGCATCGCTTGGTATCTCTTGGAAGCGAGGGTGGTCAAAGGCGAGGTAGGTATGTTTGCCTCCTCAAGGCCCAGATGCCGCGGTCCGCAGGGCGTCGCCGCCTCATGTCAGCACCACTCATCACACTTTTCGTGGCCCCACAGGGAGCTCCAGCGAAGGCCCGCATGCCAGGGTCCGCATGGCGTCGCCGCCTCATTCCGGGACAACCCTGACACGCTTCGTGCCCCCACCAGGAGATCCACCGACGGCGATGTTCACAATGACGGTGCGCACAGCCGCACATGGTGGGGTCTGTCGCCGGGACCACTCCAAGACGCGAGGGAGTCAACGTATGCGGTTCCGCTTCTGCAGTGCGCAGCCCCCCCCTCCCCCCCCCAGCGCAGAGAGCCCGAGAGAGCGGCAGGGTGCTCTCCCGGCGCGCGAGCGGGACAAGGCGGTGTCCGAGCTCTTCGCGGAGCGCTCGAAGCGCCTGCAGCAGGAGCCCGGGGCGCTGTCTCTCTAGGTCTTCGCCAGGAAGCAAAGGGGTCCTGACCCAGAACTCCGACGATCTGTTCTGTTCAGCCGTGGCTTTTTTTCTATATTTCCTGGCATCGCTCGGACGTGTGCATTTTCCTCGGCGAGGGCCATCGAGGAGCATCCTTGATCCTTGATCCTTGATCATTTGGACGTCCGAGCGATGGCCAGATTTGGGCCTCTGGGGCCTGTGTCATCGAGCCCCAGGGCTGTCAAAAAGTGGATCTCCTGCGAAAAGCTGCCCCCGGGGAAGGCTTCGGTCTTGTGGGCCGCGCAATGGGAGAAATCCAATCGGAGAATGTTTGGGCCAAAGCAGACCCCCTCGCATCGTGAAAGACATCAAGACGGACGGCGTTAACCTTGTATGCCTACTCTGGGATTCTGGAGGCCCTTACAGGGCCTGGGTTACGTAAACATCTTACGCAGGATGAAAAGGCGGTCCCGGGGAAGGGGTCCAGACGATCCACGTCACAAACAACAAAATCTGTCGCCAGAGGTCTGGGAAGAGGGTGAATCGGATCCTGAGGTTGTTCTCCGTCTCCGTGCTTCTGGGCCACCCCCAAGCCGCCCATCTTCCAGCTCTGCGCAAAGGTGAGCGACGGAAGAAAGCGAGGTCGACTGCGCGGACATTCGCGCGAGCGTAAGACGCCGCTCGCCCCGCCACCACGAAACAACTCCAGGCAGACGGTCCCTGGGCCCTCCCAGGGCGCACCGTGGTCCCAGAGCGTGTCCCAGTCTCTCCATGGTCTTGAAATTTTCAGGAGCGAAACAAGGACGTACATGTACATGAATCCACGCTGGCTTCGAGAGCACGCATTGCACAAATGTTCGTATAACGCGGCGGGTCTCGCGAATCGAGGGGCCGTGTTCATGTACATAGCTGGGCGCGTACGTCCTTTGTGGGCTCCCTAAATTTGGTCGCGCCATACAGGGACCGCGCTCGAAAAACACGACGGAGCCTTTTTATCGCTTTTGGGCGGCGCGGGGCCGTCAGGACATGAACCGGGACGACAAGCCGGTCCCCTGGAAGCGGTCCAAAGGTCTCGGGGCCTGGCATTTCAGAAATGCGTAGAAACGGGATCTAGGAAAAGGGCCTGAAAGCAACGGGTCCTGGATGTTCGGGACAATGTTGGCCCCCTTCAGCGGGCACCACGGAAACCTTTGTCCTTGAGATGCCTTTGGGTACAGATCTCGTCGCCTGAGAAATTTTGGCATCTCGTGTCTGAGGAGGGCTGGTCGATACTGATGTTTTCCTTCCGATGGTCTGCGAAGACTTGTTGAATCGGCGCTGGGCCACCCTCCCTGGCGGGAGGAGCGCGCCAGAAACCCGCGCGATTGCATTTACTTTGTTGCATTCTTGACTTGCTCTGGTCCTCCTCTTTTTCCTCTCCCTCCAGTCGGCCTGTGCACCGCAAGCAGTCTGGCTTCGCAGGAGCCCCCTCAGGGTAAAGCTCACCTGCTTCTGGTAGTCAGCTCGTCAGCCTGAACACGAAACCCCGACATTCGCCGATCATATGCGCTGCAATCCGCGGCCCCAGAGTTCGCGACCCCTTCCCCGGGGATTTACTGACTCCCCGGGAACCTTTTCTGATGGCTCCAGGGCCCGATGACGGGCCACGGCGCCCAAAATCGAGGAAACACGCTGGGATCGAATTGAGTCGTTTCGGCAGATATCTGGGGGCTTCAAGAGGATCGACTTAGCTCAGCACCTCTTCATCCTCTTGCATCCGTAGCAGCTTTGGCCCGAGGCGATGGTTTTCACTGGAAGAAGTTGATACCGGTCGTCTGCGGCGGGCAAAGCTTCTTGAAGTCTAGCATTTGTTTTCACACACGCCGTATTATCGGCTTTGGGGGCAGCGTGTAAACGGAGGCATGTCCTTTTTCTGTTGTTCTGAGCGCCACACCTTGGTACTTTCTTCATGCCAGGTGATGACACAGGAGAACCACTCGTAGTGACAGAGAAACGCTCGGGATCGACGTGCCCGATAGAGGCGCGAAGAGGATCGACGCCGCCGTGGTGATCGCGACCGCAGAAAAGACTGCTCGGATTCGTTCTCCGACAGCAGCACTGCCTTTCGTATCCCTCGCCCTGGCGATGGCGATCACCAGGCCGTCCCTGCGCGTGCTGCTCCTGCTGCTTCTGCTGCTGCTCATGACGGTGATCACGTGGGCCTTGGCGCTGTTGCGCCACCGCCTCCAGTGTCGCACGCCGAAGCTGCACATGGTCTACGCGACATCGACCTCATGTCCACATTTCCCGATGAAGAGAGGAGCGGGGTAACTATCCCTGATCTTCTGCATGGCGACGGGGAGCCGTGGGCTGGCCCTGCTCCTGCTGCAGCTGCCGCACCTGCTGTATCTACCCCTGACTCGCAGTCTTTTGCTGGCATTGGGGCCGTCGTTCGGAACGCGTTCCAGGTGCAGGTGGATCAAGCCACGAACCAAATTCAAGGCATCATGAACGCTCACACGGACATCCAGAACACAGAGGTCGAGTTGCTCCGCCCACGAGGGCGACGGTCTGATCAACGCGATGCTGACATCCATATTTCTTCCAGGTCGGACAGGGAATGTTGAGAAGCGCCAGAAAGGTGCAGTCCGAGCTTCAGGAAGTTCAGCGCTCTCTTGCTCAGGCCCGTGACGCGGCCGCCGGCGTGGTGGACCTCGCGCGCCTGGCTCAGCAGATCCGCCCTGCAGACCCCAGCATCGGTCGGAGCGGCTGCGCGCAGCTAACGGCGAAGACGGTGGTCAAAGAAGTACTGCGACATGGCTCTCGGGCGCGGGCCCCACGGATGATCGATGCTCACCCCATGGCCAGAACCCAGGCCGCACCGACGACATGCGTCTTCACGGGGGTGCGTTTGGCATCGCTCAGGCTGTTCGTTTCGCCAAGCATCTCCAGCTACCCCGTGGCATTCGGCGGCGGCTCGAAGCGTCGGGAGTCGACGACGCCCAGGACGCACTGCACATCAACCCTGACAATTCCCCCACAACAGTACGACGGGAACTTCGAAGCAAGCGTGTCCCCGCCATCTTACAGCGTGTCAAACTTGATTGCGATTGGAGGTGCGTTCGATCTAAAGACCCCAAGGCGTTGACGAACCCTCTCGTCTGGCATGGTCGCCCCAGGGAGTAGCCCACTTCGACCCCAGGGCGGGCGTGGACACACCGGCATGGACGTTACCCGAGCAGGTGGACACCGTGGAAGAGTGCCACCAACTCATCCCATGAGCTGCAAGCTGAAACTGTGACATTAAATGCGAGGGGGCTTCCATGCTAAAAACGCCGCGCTTACATCGGGCCAACGTGCCCAAACCCAGGGCTCTCTTCAGATTTGGGGTGGTAGCTGCCTTGCCAAACAGTACACGGCGCTGAATTCGCACTCCGCACGCCCGGCTGCTCTTGCTGGTGACTGCGGGCGTCTTACTAAGCAGGCCAGTGTTGATGCCACTCCAGCGCGGCGTCGCTATACTTCTTCCCTGACGTGACGAGGATGCCCTTGCATATGTCCCTGTCCATCACTGTCCTCAACGCGTTCACCGCGTACGCTTTCCTGGCCGCGTCCAGCACCCCAGCGCGCTCAATCGAGCCTCGGGCAAAGAGGCGCAGATCCCCAGCGCGCGCAACTACGACATCCCGCGTGGAGATCACCCTGGCATCTGACGGCGGTGGGCTCATAATGCCGAGTGGGCTCGGGCTGAGGCGTATCTAGACTCGTTAGCAGTGTTGGTGGTCCAATGTGAGCGATGCCACGAAGCAGCCCCTTCTCTTTCCCCAGCGTCGACAAAACTCGGCTCGGCCAAGCTTGACGGGCATCCGAATCTGAAGCTTTTTGGCGGGGTTTCTTCCAGCGTGGCGTGCTGGAGCCTGAGCGCCCCTCTACAGACGCGCTACCCACGTGCCACTGAGACCCTGGGCCCCGTCGACCGCGTCTCAAGATCGTTCAGCACGCATGTCGCCATCGAGTGTGATGACAGCATCGACGTGGCCCAAGGAGTTCAGAGGCTTGTAGACAAGGGTTCGACCAGACCCCGCCATTTCACGATGCGGCTTGCCCCGCGATAGTCCGAGGCGGTAGTAAACAGAGGCGCCCCAACCTTCATCTTCGGGCATGCAGAGCACGACGATAGATGGCAAACCGGCGCGGCAGCGGGAAACCTCGACGACCTTGGCGCCAACCAGGAGTGGATCAGGAGTCTCGCGCGCAGTGAGATAACGCGCGGTGTTCGCGCGCAAGACACTCCTTGCGTTGCGGATGTGAACATTATGACGCTGCGCGCCATCGGTCGCGCGGTCGGGCGACGGGACTGCCGCTGCGCTCAACGTCTCATGAGCACCACTGACCCTGGCAGGCGATACCTCGTGATCGCAGAGTGCGGGCTGGCGTGCAGCAGAGACTCCGAGGGCTATCGCAGCTCCACCATACCCACGAACCAGCAGCGCATCGATGAGACGGCTCAAGCCCATCGCCACCAACAGGCTGCTCAGTGCGACGAGCGGCCAGCGGGAACCCCAGAGGCCACAAAGATGCAGGAGACCTCAATGCGTCGGGCGACGGCATGGACTCCAGCCAGGAGGAGGCACATCCTGCATGGGCCCAAGCATTGCCAGCCTGGACATGGCGACGTTCTACGTGAACCTGGAGACATGGCGGCGGCCATCATCGAGCACTGGCGCCCAATGTTCGAGGCCGCGTCCTGCTCTGAACATGCAGTCCACGAGTGCTGAGATTCCCACCTCTCCCCAGGGTCTCGCGAAATCTTGAAATGCGTTTGAGATTCCTCCCTTGGCTCCGATCGGCTTCCACGCGGGGCGTGGCGGGCCGTCGCAGTGGCTGGCGAGATCCAGTGCGAAGTCCCCCGGATGCCGTTTTATGGCGAGGGCCCCGCCGAAGGCCTGAAGCTCTCAAATGTTGCGTTTTCCATTAGAGGTGATGACCCCACAGGCCCCGCCAAGTGCGTCGGG